CTATAAAGAGTTCAATGCAATTTTAACAGTGACCACTAGTGTTACATCATCAAAGAAAGAAACCATGTGAAAGGACATTTCCAAAGAATCTTTCTCATAATTTGGGATTTTAGCTCAATGATCCTGGACAATTCTTAACTGGATAATAATTACACAATCTACCTAAATTTTTAGTCTAATTTTTTCTTAATTTACCATTTGGTGATCTAAAATCATTAAATACATGTAGTTGTCTGCAATAAAGTTTTGGTTGCCACACAAACAAAAAAAGTAAAGATGAAGTAAAACCACTTTATACAACATTACATATGTAATATACTAATGTGCTATCCACACCCCTTAGCTTTTTTACCCTTTACACCCTAACATCATAATCCATATTCTTTATACTTTTCCCTGTACATTTCTTAAGGTGCCCATGAGGAGAATTATTTTTCCATACAAAGCTTCTAAAGTTGGCAATCACTTCCTTTGTTTTCATGATCTTAATGAATGATTCAGCATTATTACTTTAAAGAGAAATAGATCACTATTTGGAGTTTAATGGGTCAAATAAGCAGTATGGTTGAATGACAGACATAATTTTTAAAAATTCATAAATACATTCTTGGGAACCTGATGAAAAACAGGAAAATCTTATACAAGAAAATGACCAAGCATGAGTAATATTACATCGGACCAGGAAAGCTAAATTGTAACCATAGTTCATATCCCGATATGACCACCAGACCCAGGTCCCCAAATTGGCAACTTATACTTTAGATTCAGTAGCCAAAATTTTGTCCTAGCTGCCATGGGGACCATAACAGTGAAAGTTTGGAGTGTGAATGTAAATCAAACTATCAGGAATATCTGACATTATAACCCACCCATTATTTTTTTGCATGCTTTTATTGGCTACTTTATGTCATGTGGTGCAAAATCACCAGACAAGCATCATGCAATAACTCCCGTATGCATTGATATTTGCACTGTTTCCAAAAGAAACAAAGTAAGCACAAAAAGCCAGCTCAAGAATTGTACCTGTCATCTGTAATATCTTACACACAGGAAAAACAATCTCGTTTTTCAGAGTCCAGTGATAGCAACATTAAAGCACTGGTTGCAAATGGTGTTTCAGAAAATACAAAAGAAATCAATTATTGCTCTATAACAAGCTATTTTGGTACAGTATCAAAATTAATGCAAGGGTTATAAAACAAATAAACCCCTTTCTAGCTTGCTGGTATCTCTGCTGATAATGTCCTTGACTGACAGATTGTCCTCAAAATATCATATTTGCTCTTGAAGCTTTGCTTCTCCACCAAAAATTCATTTTTCAGACAATATCTCAGCCGCTGACATTATCAGCCAAACCCTCAGGCTGTACCAGCAGCCTGAGGGTTTATTTACTACATATCATGAGGGATAACTTTTGATGACTAAGGAACCTATTCTGAGGAAGTACCAATACCACTAACCACTTTGTGTTGCAGAAACTAAGACAATATACAAGTCATTCTCCTTTGCAGACTTTTCATATACATACTATCTTGTTTGTACCTGTACAAGTATGTTACTGTTTTACCGTCACCATTCACAGGATACCCAACCACAAACTATAATAATATCTTTTGAATAACAGTAAAATTATAACACTGGCAGAGACCAAATTAAACTTGGAGTGGGCTACCAACCGTCATCATCATCATACTCCATGAAAAACTCAAGCAATCCAGCAAAGATCTCTAACAAGTTCCGAATTGAAATCTTGTCACCTTCCACAATGCTGCTCCCGGTGATGTGAGTTAGATCCACACTAAGAATATCAGAAGCAACTGAATCTATCAAAGTTTGGCAGTTCAAAACATGTTGTTCATTTGAGATGGGATTTTCTACAATACCTGTGAAATGACGAAAGATGCCAAAATTAATGATAGGGTAAGAGTAACAATATTTGTGCACATGTTAGTACTTCTGGAGGTGAAAATGTATGATTCTGCTTATGGATGATCCAAGCAATCTAAGAAAAAAAAAGATGCCATATTCTAACCTTACCAGGCAAATCATCACCAAGAAGACCTCTGTAAACTGCGACAAAGAAGTTGTCACTGCATTCCTCAAGTTTAGATATTGTGCCAGGAAGGTTGCATTTTTCCAACAGCTCATTTGCTATAGCTATAAAAGCTGAAAACATTTGTGATAATCAGCCAGTAGAGATTTAAGTAAATGAATAGAATAGATCAGCAATAGAAACAAGAGTAAAATACAAATTTAAAATTAAAAAGGAAAGCTTTAAGTATTTTTGGTTTAATTTTCCGTTTCAACCAGTCCCACAGTAGAAGCGCAGAACTAAGGAAAGGGCCAAGAAAGTTAGTAAAATGCTAGCATTGAATTTAGCCTAAACATACTTATTCAAGGGGATAAAAACGCAGTAGTTTCTGCATGGCGTGGTATTTTCATGCAGGCAAACTGATGCAGCAAAGAAACATCATAAGATCGCAGTCCCACAATCGCGCGAAAAACGTTTAATCTATTACATTTGTCAAATTTCTGGCTATTCACTGAAATACCTTCTGATCGTTCTCTTCTGACAACGTTATAAAAAATTGTGTAATTGTTATCAGAAACCCCTAAGGCCTCTCTGTTACCAAAACCGGCTCATTAGCCAAGTTCATATAGCTGCAAAGCAAGAGAGTTTAACTACACTCTCGTTTTTCTTCACGTAGAACATTACGTTAACAACAAGATAAAACAGATATTCTCTCAAACCTTCGTCATCTGAATCACCATCCATTCTTTGCATGGGCTTACGGTTATTATTCAGATATTTCATCAAAACATTGCAGCCATCTTGTTTTGAACTGACACTCACTTGAGACCTGCAATTTGATTGGTTAGATTACAAATTCTTTCCCAGTTTTCCTAATCCGATTCTGGACACGGTCTACGTTAATCTACACCTTACAATTCCTTACGATACGGAGTGGCTGATTAATGTCGTTTTATTGAGCACTACACTCAGAATCTTTGGACAAACAAGAACCAGCAAACCAAAAATCTTCGGCCCAAATTTGAATAAAATTTGATAGTGAGAAGTTCATTCGGACACGTATCCGGTCGAGTCATCCAAAAGTCTTCTTAACTGAAGTTATGTCACCCGACATTTTTAGTCATGTCGCTCTAATACATCAAGATGCTCATGGCGCCAACGTTCTTGCCCCATTCCTTGCAGACATTTTCCAGAGGCTTGGGCTCCACGCTACTACCTCAGCCCCTCAAGGCCTGGTAGATTACGTGACCTCTCAGTGGATAAACAGCACCACATTTCCTCCCAGTTCTCAGAGCATTTACGGACTGCCACATGATACATAGTAGTGACATTGAGGGCTTGTACACCTCATTGAACCGATGCACTTGCGGAAGGACTCACCTCCCATTCTACTTGTTACTTCAGCTCTTACATGGAGACTCTTATGCACCATCCAAGTGCGTCTTGTCAACGCCCGGATCTTCAGAGGATTCAGCTTCTTACTTACAAAATCTGCTGTGACTAAATGCCTCGCAGCCGGGCACAGTCTCAAGTGGACTAAATGCCCGGCAGTCTGAAATGTTCACAGAATTTCCACCGAAGGGTTCTTCCAAATTTCTTGGAAATATCAGAAAATTAATTTGGTTTTTCAGTGGACAATTTTTTCGATCTTGCGCATACTATAACGTTAATATGTTTTAGTATGTTACTGAAAAACCAACATTTCTAAACAAACATCGAATGTACTAGACAGGTTTGTATGAAGTTTTCAGTGGCATTTTGGTGAAGATTTCTGACTGCCTGGCATTTAGTCATCGAGACCGTGCCCAGCTGTCTGATCAGAAGCGTACAATTTTTTAAGGTCTATAACCAAGCCATATATATTTCAGTATATTCAAGCTCGGAAAAATTGTCCAAATTAATTTTTGTATAGCTTGACATTTCTCTACCAAATTCTGATGCTTTTTAGAAGTTTCAAGGAACCTTTCAGTGGCACTTTGGTGAAAATTTTTAACTTCTGAGCATTTAGCCCATTCGAAACCGTGCCTGGCAGTCTGATCAGAAGCGTACAATTTCTAAGTGTTGACAACCGAGCAATATTATGACTATTAAAGTATGCTCAAGCTTGGAGAATTTTCCCACTAAAAAGCCAAATTAATTTTTGGAATCTTTTAACATTTCTAAACGGAAACATCTGCTTCTGTAAAGAAGTTTGAAAGGAACTTTTGGTGGAAATTCTGTAAACATTTCTGATACCGGGTATTTAGTCCAACTGAGACTGCCCGGCTGCCGGGCCATTTAGTCACACAAAGTCATTGGCTATTGGAAGGATTATGCGTCGAAAAAAAATTCAACAAGACGACTCCTCAAAGCTTTTTCCAACTTGGCACATGGCCAATCCATACAGATTAACTTGATAGGTTTCTCTTACTACGCTTAATTAGGACTCTCTTGTTCATAGGGTAATTTAGTATTATCAACTGAGTTGATAACGTAACTTGGCCACCGTAAAGAGTTTAAAAGTTAACTTTTAAACTCTTTGCGGTGGCCAAGTTACGTTATCAACTCAGTTGATGATACTTAATTACCCTGTTGCACACTCCTCACCGATGCAGTACCACAGTTTTTTTTAGAAATTTGCCCCCTTTATTCATCTCTCTGGTTAATAGCCAAGTTCTCTTTAATATGATACGCCTCGGGTTTCTCTCGCTAGTTAGGACTAAGTAAGAAATAATTAAGAGTTCTTTGATCAATCCACTTTTGATTTTCCCTCACTAGTTTAGGGTTAAATAAGTAATAGTGTGACATGTAAACACCAGGTATAGTTCTGTGCTCTTTCTATTATTCCATTCAAGTATGAAGGGGGAGGGAGGGGGGGGGGGGTTAATCTTAGACCTGGGGTTCTGATTGCCATTTTGGCACTCTAGGTGAAGAGTGATAGTTGCTGAGGAGTTTGGACCAAAATGGAGTCACATTGAACACATAGGACTACAAGAAAAAATTAGGCCTGATGTGAAGCCGACCTATTTATTTTTATTCAGTATTTTATCACCTATCCATTGTAACATATTTCTCCTATTTCCTTTCAGGATTCTATGATATTTATGTACATACATTGTTTTTTCATTGCCTGCAGTGGGAAACCTTTTTTCACTGAGAAGGGATAAGGGGATATTTATCATCCTCCACTTTACTAGATGAAAATAATAGAAAGGGAATACAAAGTTCATTCACTTCGTTTTTTAGAGTTCTACAAGAGAGCAAGATACACACAATAATCATATACTTTACACTGTCATGTGACTGAATTGATTCCTTCATTATGTTACCTACGTAAGGTAGGTTCATACACTCATTACTTACTGTAATGATCTGGATGGTTAACCGCAATTAACCTGGTGAAACAATTTAAGAATATTTAATTCATCCTCTCTGATCAAGTCTTTTGCCATCTGAGTACACTGCTTTCATTTGTATCTGTTTTTTGGTTCCCACCCAGCTTATCTTCAACTTCTGGTATCATCTGTTGCTGAATGGATTACTGACTTTTCCAAACTCACTCACAGGCCATACCTGAAAATTATCAAATACATGGAGGGACTGTGGATGAAATCTGGTGCAGATTGTTTCTTAGGCTAAGATGTAATTTTTGAAAAAATCAAGAACATTTTTGACTTGTTGACTCTTAAATAGTAAATATCATTCTGCATGGGTTTTTGTCAACTGTTCTATGTTTCCAAAAAAAGAGTAATTCTATAAAACTCGGGGTAATTTGACAGTATATATCTTTTAAAGATTGGGTGATGATACATTGACAAAAATGCCAGATGAATGACTAAATTGAAGTTTTCTGTGTGTTTTCCTCTAAAGCATAGCAGTATTCAAAACTCATTTCCATCAAAAAAGTAGCTTGCACCTGTTTTCCTTAAACCCCTTCAATGACAGTCATAAAATACAATCATCAGTCTCAGGAAAAAGGAGTTGTGGTGATCTTTAGCTCTTGTATCTTGCCTTACAAATAAAGAGGGTGGCAAAGGGTTTAAACATGATAAGGGCCAAAAATGATAATAGGTGAATTTTAAGGAGAGGCAAGTGTGATTCATGAGTTTGTAAACCAGCATGAGGCATGATTTGCCTCCTGAAATAGATGTGATATGAGGAGTTTTTCTTTCACTTCATGAAAAATTCAAGATTTCTCTGAAACCTCCCATTTGAATAATTTAAGATTTGAAGTTTTCCCTTTTAAATATGTGAGGTGTAAATTTTTATAAAATTCTTATGTGAAATGGGATCAGGAATCCCTTTGCTACCCTTTGACAAATGCAGACTTGTTAAAATGGATAGCATAGAATAATTGAGGAAGCCTAAGTTAACAAGAAAATAATGCCTTCAAGTTATTGAAAAGACTCTGTCATACAATGATAATTGTACCTTAAATTTGGAAATGACCTTTCAAGTAAAGTATTCAGTTTTTACTTAATTTGGGATGACGTAACATCTCTGTATCACTAGCAACCCTGTCCTAACCTTGAAGCAGACCCTCCCTTGAATGAGTCCATAAGGAACTGGACCATAGTCCCTGGAGTCCTTGGAGTACTTGGGGTTATCACCAAGAAGCCACAAATGTCCTTTCGGAATCTTAAGCCAATACAAAGAAGATTGAGGTTCTGAAGTAAAATGCATCAACTTTCATTTCTACTTTGAGCTAACGATCACTTAACAAAAACACAGAGTCACTTAGTCCTAGTTAATACATGATGGTAACATGGTCACTGGCTTGCCAATAACCAAAAAAGTCTTAGTAAGATGCAGGTGGTTATAGAATTAAACATCTTTTTAATGTTTTTAGGCTTGTTCTCAATTACAGACATATTGATTACTTCTCCTCAGTCTGCGGTCACAAACTTACTTCAAAGCTATCTTTTCCATCAGTGTCAGTTCTCATGAACTCCCCACCCTACAAGTGGGAAAACAAAAAGACCAAAGATCACATCAACTCTTCTGTTGTCAAATTAAATAACTCTTACTACAGTTTGAAACAACAGTCTGCAGAGGACTTTATCAGGTTATTCCATTCCAATTTCAAACATTTTTTTACAGAGTTAATGCAGTACCTATTGCACGATATACCAACCATTGCAGCAATCCTCTTGCAAATAAGGTTATTTGGTTTCTCAGGAGACCTCAGAATGACAACATCTCCTCTGTCAGCAGCAACACATACAATTGGTCAGCTAAATATTCTCAAAATTACTACAACCCAATAGCTGCAAACAGATCTCGGTAAAAAATACTTTGTTAGCTAATTTAGTTATATTGAAGTTAAGTAATCACTTCAAGCTGACATATTTATATCAAAATCACCATGAAGATAGAATAAGAAAGATGGCTAATTTTAAATTGGATGTCAAAACACAGAAAACCCATTATGTTATTTCTTCCTTAGATAACTGAGCCATCTAACTATATATATATATATATATATATATATATATATGCTGGAATTCCTTACAACATCGCAGATCCTAGCAATTAAAAAGAAAACACTAACTTGTCACATATGAACTTAGCATGTGACCTAAAGCTGTAGCACACAAATATGTTCTCTTTAGCTCAAAAGTAGAGTTTCAGATGGCAAAAAACTCAGTCAGTCATCTCAATCTTGAGACAAGTGTCTACATCATTCTTTTGAGAAAAAGTAATTTATTATCTAAACTGCACTTTCTGAGGTGACAGGGTTCATTCAAACTAGGAAGAAATGATACATGAGTTGATAAGACTTCAAATTACAAATTTTTACTAGGAACCTAATGGCCACTTTGTACATCATTTCAATGGAACTGGCCACTTACTTTTTAATTGTTCTGAAATATGAACTAAGATGCTCTGAGACCACAATAACCCCATCTCCTTTGAGATTGAAGGTAGGAATCATAGATGGACCTGACACCTTGAATAATAAAAAAAAAAGAAAAATAACAAAAACCTTATGAATTTTCAAATTAAGAACATTTTTTGTCTTTCTTTCTCTGTTAAAAGCTGTCATAATGTTTGACACATGCCATCAAAAATAATAAAACAAAGAAAAAGGAAAGCAACCTCAAAAGCCAAATTCCTTGTTCCAGGATTCTTGCCTTTCCAAATAATACAGATTATGGCCTAAGGCATAAATCAAAAGCCAATTTCATTAACAATGTTTGCTAGCATCATATGACAAAAAGAATAACAATAAGTAGGGCAGAGATCACATTCCTGGTTTGACATTTCCTTTTCCTTTGTTTGCATGTATGAAATATGAGATAAGAGGACGTGATTGTCATTTTGTGTTGATGACCGTTAATGGCATTTCATACCAGCAAGAAAACTGTTTCACTGCAATACACATAACAAGGAAATTCCACCATGGATGTTGTAAGTGAAACTTAAAATACTGATTAACAAAGCTATATTGCTAATTTTAATTTGCTGGTCGATGCTAAAAAAAAAAAAAAGGATTTTAAATGCTTTCAAGATTCATTCGTCTTTAAGCTTAAGTAATGAGTTCGTAACCACAAAATACGAGTAAGGCATACATATGTACATAATGATGTTTATTTTGAATGAGAGATTCAACTTTTAAACACTTTTTCTCTTTGATGTATAACAAAAACATCTCTACAACAGACGACGAGAGAAATAATTATGATCAATTGATGGCAGGCCATATCACGAACGTTCCAAACAAATAATTTTTTATATCCGATTTTCCTCAACCGAATTTCTCAATCAAACCATCCTCTGTTCCTACAAACGCGAAAATCTGTGTGAAAGACACGGTTTTCAGAGGTTGATAGTAAAATCTATTTCAACGGATGCTCATCTACTTTGGACCTTCAAGGCAGCCCAAATTATCCACGGTCATTGCATCAAATTTCTTCATGCGGAAAAGGTAAAATTAATACATACCACTATCAATTGGACGACATGTTCCCATATGAAGTTAAGCACACAGCAAGCGCTAGCAGTCACGCATCCCCCTTGCAACAATTTACTCACAAGTCCTATAGTCATATGGTTCAGGTCACAGTCGTGTGCTTTCCGCCATCTCTCTATCAGCTGTCTGCGTTCTTCCGAACCTTGGACGCATGCGCTTGGCGAGAGTTCAACATGGCGGCATATTTGGTTTGCTTGACGACTGATGGTGGCATTCCACTGTTCACTAGAACGAAAGGAAACCTCCCACAGGTAGAGTGATTTAAAAGTGTATATGACGTAGTACATAAGTATGTTTTGTAACATTTATACTAGATGAGAAGGAGACTCGACTTTTTTTCTGTGAGAAGTTTTTCATGAGGGCTAACAAACCACCTTGCAGCCAGAGAAACTTTGGTAACTTTCTGGATTCTATCAAATTAAATCAGTTTGTTTGCAAATCAAAGTTGGGGGGAGGGGAGGGGGGGAAAGTCTTTTTTCAGATATTATCAAGGAAAATTTTCCTTGTACCAATACCAGTGGGAGGGTTGGCTGAAAATGACAGCCTTTAGAAGTAGAACTGCTTGTCACATCACCTTGGAAACGTTAGAGAGGTGACCACACAGACATCACCAATTTTTCTGTTGGATAGTATAGCACATCCTGTGAACATGGGCTTATTTACTTACAACAAAAGTCATTACCAATTATTTTAAATGTGCATATAAATATAATGTAAAAATAAAGGTTAGCTCTGAATCAAGCTCCTGAAGCACACTGTAATACATATACCTGACGTTTTTTGATTATTTTTGACATTTTTTGTGGTTATATGTTGTGTGTTGTCATACAGTTGCCTTTTCCTGTGATTGGATCACTTAATGGTGTGTGCATGTTTGCCAACAATCAAGATGTCACTTTGCTTAACACAGTCACGGATGATGCTAAAGTTGTCTGGAAGGTTTTTAATGAAAGGTGTTTTATTATTCAGTTTTATCTTTTTCTATTGAAATAATATACTATTTACTTGAAAAAGGGAACTTCAAGAGCTCCCAAACTTCATGACCTCCTGAAAGGTCTCAGGTCTTAGAAGGGTCATGCATATTGTAAAAGTTTGACTCCTCTTTGAAGCATGTGGAATTTTTCTTGTAAGTAATAGAAATCACCAGGCATGAAATGTATGATGTTTATGTCTAATGATATCAAAAGACGTAATAACATCTAGAACTTCAATAACTGACAAGCTTAAATGGGATTTCAGAGCATATGTGGTCTGTAACATTTGTAAAAAGTGGCAAGTTTAGCCTGCAATATGTCTGTCTCTATTAATGTTTCTTTCTTCAATTGGACTGCTCTTCTTTATCAACCAAAGGATTTCATTCAAGAGCTTGCAATCTATTACTTGATTTAAAAGTTGAAGTTTAATACAATCCATATATGCAAAGTTTATATGGTGCCTTTGTAAAGGCAAGCAATCATGAAGGGGCCACCTTCCGGAAGTTTAACCTTCTACACCCTTACTTCAGTATGCATCTTCTTCATACTGTCCTCTACACATTTCCTAAGGAGCTGCCAAGGAGAATTTGTTTAACAATCAAAACTTAGGGTGATCATTTTCTTTTTTCTCATGACCTATATGTTTGATTCAGGGGTGATATTCTAAGGAGAAATGAGATTCTAGTCACTCCTCAGGGTTAAAGGGTTAAAAGAGAAAAATATAACATTGTGAAAACATGTGTGCAGTCTTGTGGCTGTCTATCAGAGTTAGTTGCCGGAAGAGGCAGAGTGAAATTACAGCTAAGGACAACAAAATATTTCTTAAGAGTCTAAAAACATTTCCTCATTTGTGGGACTGTGTTACAGATGAATTTTATAAGCACTAGATGGTTTGGGATCAGTTATCAACCTGTGAATTCCCGTGTAATGCTAATTAAAAGTATTTTCAACTGAGTTAATTTTTTTTCATGTCGTTTCAGGATCACCTTAATAATTGTTGCCTCTGATGACAATGCTAGTGATTTGCATCTTAATAGACTCTTAGATTTTGTCTTTAATTCCATGGTAGGTGTAATATAATACATGGAAATTTGTATGCTTTTCCTATTGATGAGTACTGAGACCTACCTGTTATTAATACAAACTGAGTATTTTAAAACTGTAAGGCCATCTATTTGTATTTCTTCCCTTCACTTGCAGTATAACACTGATGATGTCTCTTCATGTGGTGGAGTGTAAATGATCTTTATAAAGATTTATTCAATCACTCACCTAAAACTTTTTAAAGATAATGGATGGTCAATAATGACCAAGTAGAGTGTTTAGGATAAACTCTTTGGGAAACACTGACAATTAACACATGCACCAGACTACATGCACTGATGTAACTACAGGATAGGCTTCAGATATAATAAACTTGTGATTGCTCTTTTTTATGATACAATCATGTCTGTGCTTTACATTGCACCACATTATTATCGAATACAATACAATTTTTTTAATGCTGGAAATTGATCACTTAGATCCAGTTTGTTTTGTAATTATTGTGAAATTAACTTTTTTTTAGCATATAAATAACTGAAAACACATTTTTAGGATAACTCCCGAAAAATTTTTTACTTTAACACTGCTTGGTATTATTATATTTTAGGTTTTGTTATTAGGAATAGATGAGTTGACATCTTTCAGAAATGTAGAACTGCTAAAGAGGGAATTGAGAGTAAGTAACTTTCTTAGAGTTTGCCTCTGATTTCAGGTTTTCTTGTGTGTGTACAGTAGTTTATATAATAAAAATACATTTATGTCAATTAATTGATGTATTTCTTCAGTGTTGTTATAGTTTGATTGACAGTCTCTTGGAAGGCACAGAGTTAACAGGAAACATTACTCAAGCTGTTGATATCATTCTTTGTCCAGATGTGTCATTTCTACAGGTACATTGTATTGCCAGTAAATATAAAAGCATTATAAACTCTGCAGAAGGATTGGAGCATCTCTACCTTGGGCTTAATGTGCAGAAATGCATTGCAAAGTGTTGCTTTTGGATTTTCCTTCCTCTTGATGGTTTTTCATTTTCTTTTTCATATTCAGCTTGTAAACCCTTACTGATTCACACAGCATTCATTTCTTAACATTTTATACACTGTTAGTTGTGACTTTGACATTTCTAACATTCTGTTGTTACAGGAGTTTCTGGATGCTTTTGCTACAGCAGTCAGCAGTGAGTTTGGATGTTTACTTGTCATGGGAAAAGTGGCTGTAGCAACAGAACGATGGTAAGATTTCCTTCTACTCACCATGTATTTCAATTAGCAGTTTGCTGTTTGTATTATTAAAAATATATATAGGTATTGAATCAAGTCAAGCCCAAATTTTACATGTATGTTAAGTTAATTGATATTAAAGATAATGCCACAGAATTCTAGGAGTACAATTTGATAGGGTAACTTAAGTTCTAGAAGTGTTACTCATATGCAGTAGTGATATTAGTTTAACCAAAGTAATGTTTACTCACTAAAGTTGACATCAAGGGGTTGGTCGTTGGTGACGCTACTATCAGTCCTGTGACTGCCGTTAAAAACTTTGGGTCATGGTTTGATGAAAACATGAATATGGGCTGTCATATAAACAAGATGTGTAAGACCTTGTCATTCCACCTGTATAACATCAGAGGCATCAGAAAGTATTTATCTAAAGACTCCACACAAACACTTGTTCATGCATTCATCACTGCACGTATTGATATTTGCAATGGTTTGCTGTATGGTCTACCAGCTGCACATCTCAACAAGTTGCAACATATTCAGAACAGTGCTGCCTGACTTGTTTGTTCCCTTTCTTGTTTTTGTCATATAACTCCTACTTTGTTTTCCTCACATTGGTTACCTTTCTGTCTCAGAATTGAATTTAAATTACTTATTTTAGCGTTCAAGGCTATCCATGGGCTGGCACCTCAGTACATTATGGATCTAAACGTTAAACAACAATTCGGATGTATGATGTTACGATCTCAGTTTGAACTACAATTATTGCCACCCAGGACAATAACTAAAAGAAAACTTTAGGTGATAGATCATTTATGGCAGCTGCTCCTAAACTTTGGAACAGATTGCCATCAAATATAAGAGCAGTAAATGATCTTAATTGTTTTAAAACACTTCTTAAAACACATTTTCATGTTTGCTTTTATGGTTTGTTTTTAGTTAGTCAAATTGTATATTCTTAGCCTTTTATAGTTCATTTTCATATTTTATTTTGCTTAGTCTTATTGTACAGAGCATTAGATCATATTCACATGTATTTTGCACTATATAAGTTATAAATTATTAATTCTTAGTAATATTTATTAATTGCAAGTTTGTCCAAGGTTGAAAAATATATCTTTTGTATGCATCAGAACCTAATGAATATATAATTCAAGGGTCAATAGTTGAGAACTTGGGAGTTAAGTCTTGATTTGGACCTCAAAATGAGAAATGCAGTTAATTTTCCATTTGTCAGAATATAGTTGTTGATTGTGATTCTCTAACACAGCATTTCTGACAATTCATGGTGCATTCCAGGTGGGAGTTAACTGGCATGGAGACTGTCTTATTGTCATTGTTGGTTCATTCCTTACCACCATGGTCTTCTCGTGATATACCTATATATCTGCCATATGGTAGTCCAAAGGTTTGTCATTGTTTGTTTACTACTGTTATTGTTGTTATCTGAGAAAAGAAAATAGTAAGTCTGCATATGTGTAAGACTGACTTGCCTCACTATCAGACCTCCCCTTCTTCACCCATCATCTTTGTGCCAATATGTGTGAGTGACATGAAGATACCTGAATACAAGGGATTTGAAAGGTTGCATGCCTATTCAATGGTAATTTATGAGCAAAATATCCTTTAAAACCCTTGCCAGCAAGGCCAATGCACCACAAAGGTGACAGCATCTTGATAACATACCACCTTGCCAACCTCCAAGTCCAGAGTCTGTCAGATATATCCATCTCATATATTGCAAAACCTTTTGTTTTTTATCTTGCTTGATTTTTACATTAATATCTCATGCATGTACTTTTATTTTGTACTTGTCATCCAAATGTTACTTTATTATCTTGCACACTTTTAGTTTTCCTTGTTTTGCAATTGTTACATTTGTATCTTATACACTTTTATTTTTTCTTGTTGTCCAATTGTTGCATTAGTATCATGTGCACTTTTTGTTTCTTTGTGTTTGATTTTTATGGTAGCATCTCGCACACTTATAGTTTTCTAGTTATCTGATTGTTACATTAGTATATCACGCATTTTTGGTTTTCTTTTTCAATGTTTGATCGTTGCTTTAGTATCTTGCACACTTTTACTTTTCATTGTTGTCTGATTTTTGCATTTTTTAAATTTTTTTCACACTTTTGGCTTTTCTAATTGTGGAATTGTTTTGTTAGAATCTTTTGCTCTTTTGGTTTTTCCTGTTGTGTGATTCTTATGTTTATGTAGTATTTTGTGCACTTTTAGTTTTCACTGTTGACTTATTGCTACATTAGCATCTCACACTCTTTAAATTTTTCTTGTCTGCTTGTTACATTAGTATCTTGTACACTTTTAGTTTTCCTTGTTACCTTTTTTTCTCTTTTATATCTTGCACACTTTTTTTCTGGTTATCTTAATTCTTTTTAACAAATTTTATTTCCCTTGAAAATTTTGAAAACTGGTATACCACAATACTTAAATGATCAACTGTTAACTGGGAAACATATGTCAACTATTTGCTTGTCTTTTATGTTTCAAAAGTTGTTGACAAACTTTTTATTTTATTTTTAGATTCCTCACCGGTTGTTAACATTTCAAGTAAGTTATGTACAAGTAGGTTTCTGCAATTATATATAAACATGTTTATGTGCTTTATATTTATTTCATGTCTCTGTTGCTGTTTCCAGCTCATTGAAGGTGTGGAGGTATGTGTGATATGTGGGCCTAAACCAACACTTCAGGATGCTGAAACCAAGGTACAGTATAAAGCTCACTTTAAACTAAACAGTGTTCTGTCGGTGTCTTCATATTATTTCATTCACCTAATTTAAATGAGATGCTAGGTTTAACTTACAAAAGGTTCAGTATGGTGACCATTCTTAAGGGTTTTACACAAATTAACTACTTTCATTATGTAAAAATCCTTGCTTCAGTTATGATATCCCAAAATGGCATATTATGCCCCTTTGGATTAGGCATAGAGGGTGCATTGTAACTTTAAGCATCACATTTTAAGACATGAAATGCTGCAATAGAGTTGAGTTTATGTAACAAATATCTAAGGAAAGTTGTAAGAATAGGCAACCTTTTGACTACTAATTTTGGCTTTGTGTGTACTTCCAATAAAGAAATTACAAGGTATACTAGGTCAAAGTATTGCGTCAATGGAGTGGTCATTATGTGTGTTCCTAAACATCCCTTATGCTAGAATGTGTTTGTAGTTGTAATGGTATTTTTCATTCATAGTTTTTGGACCAGTATTGGAGACTTGCTATTGATACACTGAAAACCAGTCGCAGATCTCATCCAAGAAATCTCCCTGGTGATATGGTACTCGATAGTGGAATCCTAGGGTATCTTACTAGCAACTGTACATGACTATAATTATGTCTATTAATGCTACTACATCATGATCATAATTTCTTCATAAAAATACAAAGAGAAATACAAGAGAGTCCCATTACTTTGTAGGAATTGGCAACAACAATGAAGGTCATTACCCATCAAATGTTTTTGCTCACATGAGATTGGTCCATGTACATAGCACTTAACTGAATATTCTCCAGTTAAGGGAGAATCACTTGGAGAATATAACCAGATGTTCCCCAGTCTCTGAACCTTGTGTCCAATAGTACATGAAAATATCTTCTTTAACTTCAATACTTAGAATGAAAGAGCATTTTGCTGTTTCTACAGAAAAGCAATAATGCATGTTTGTTTTTAGTCTTACCAGAAGATAAAATCTATGCTTGTTTCAAGTCAAAACAGAGGCTGCTGTCTAGATAAGATATATCTAGGATGGAATTAAAGTCACGTGTCCACAAACCCAAGGATTTTCCCTAGTTGAAGAGATTAGGAAATTTATAAGTTTTACAGTCTGCAGTTCAAGATAATGGCACTTCTTTGTTTTTACCTTTTGAAACTTAAAATATTTCTTTGAAGTGACTCTTATCTTGTGCACCTGTTCAAGGTTTGTGCTGGTGAACACAGATGAGCACAAGAGTCTGTCTAGTGTTCATCCATCAGGGGTGCTAACTGGTGTGGATCAAGGAAGTACCTCAGGTAAGGAAGGGCACATGAACCACTCATAGGTGGCTCATGATCAGGAGCTGTTCATGAGCATTATAAACAACATGAATTTGGCTTGTCAACATTAATTAACACATTTAGCTAATCCCACATGGGTAAATAGAATAAGATCCTACCCATGTGAGACAATTGCAACTTTTTTATTCTGTTATTTCAAAATGTAAGTTCCTATTATTTGAACCAAAAAATGGAGTTAGTTTAGCATCTGAATGATTAGATAAAAATGATGTTTTGTTTTCAAATATTTTATAAACCTACATGTTGAGGTAAGTCAGTTAAAGTACAATTACTGTAAAATTATTTTTGAATTACCTTATGACTTTTGTTGTCAAAAGGAAGTGGAATGTCTACAGCTAAAAGAAAGTCAATTCTCGTGTCATTTTACAAGTCAGTTGTTGGTACTCTATTTCCTGTCCAGGAGCCAAATACCTCTGAACAAGGTAAAGTGTGAGTGGATGTTGATAAAAAGGTTTTTTATTATTTTTCATTATGTTGGTACGAAGTAAGTACATGCAGATATAAGTTACACAACCCTTGATAAAATGCAAATTTCAGCGATTTTAGCCCCCTTAAGCAGTATAGTTGTATCTTAAAGGAGAAATATTCCCCAGAAACCATGAAATTTTTTTTATCTCCTTTAAAATAATACAAAAAAATTGAGAAACTGATCTGAATCATAGCTTGAAATGCAAAAAGTTGAACAACAAGTGCCACCAATCTGAATCTTGAGTAGCTTCCATAATCGGGTTTGTTTGTTCTGCACAAGGATTTAAGAAAAAACATACTTTAAAAAGAGTCAAATTAAATTGTTTGTTGAGTGTTGCATGACCACTCAGACACTGTCACCTTTGGAAGGGTAAAGAAGCAGTTGCAGATTTGAATGAGTTAGAGATAGCACTAAGTACTTGTTATGGAAGTTGAGAGCCAGTTGAAAGAAGGGGGATCTATTAAATGTATGTTAAAGACAAATTTGTCTGTAACTCTTTTAGATCATTATCAACTGCCTATTTAACATGGTGCAGTTTATTTACATAGATTCCTCCAGTGGTGTGTATCACCAAGCCATGGAGACTTACATATGTGCTAGTGATCATAAGTGTTATGCAATCCGTACAGCAACACATGAACTGTTCTTATTGTTTTCAAATGAAGTACCAACCTATGCTCTCGGGTAAGTGAAAATTGTGTCTGAAAATATACATACTATACATGTTTCTTTAGTGAGCTGAGTTTTAGAACCCTTTTGGTTTGTTAATTTGTTGGTGGAAGATTTGCAATTCGGAAGAATTGGGGTATTAAACTATAGGTTGTGCAAAAGCAGTTTATATAATTTAAGGGTTTAAGAGGGTTACCTATTTACAGCATAGGAAAAAAAAAACATGTGGTGAATTTGAAATTCAGGCGAAATTCAAAAGTAGTTATAGTTGTTACTCTGGTTCCCAACTAACCAAAGAGCCACATGACATGTTTTGATCAATCTGAATCCAGAATTGTGACACTCCCCCAAACTTGAAATTTTTTGAGGTCACACAGGGTGAAAAAGATGTCACGTAAGACGATGAAAATGATGTCATAATGTCACATGGATGGATATTTTTTTAAAATTTATTTTAGGGGGAAGTTTGGCCATACTCAAGAAATGATTGACAACACAATAAAGTCTGTAATCAGAACAAACATGTTTTTTTTTATTGTAACCAAAGAATTCTTAGTTTACATTTAGGATGTGTACTCTCCCTGCTGGAAAGTGCCCATGTGAATGAATGTATGTTCCTCCATGATCTGAGATTGATGCTTTCTTCATACACATGATGAGTAGTTACATCATCTCTGAGAAAGGTAGTCTATTACAAGTTAGTGGTACAAACATAGATGGAATTTAAAACTGAATGACAAATGGAAGCAAAAATCTCATTATAAAAACTAGTCATTCTGGAAAAAATTTCTTTTAAATCATTTTTGTACTACCTGAAAATGACTAAAGTTGCTTTTACTTCTTATCTTAAGGTTCTTACGTAAGGTTACCAACCCCGATTTATGGAATCTACCATTCCTTTTTTATGTATTTAATAACAAGAATAAAAAACAGAACAGAACAAAACAAAACAAAACAAAAACAAAAACTACTTACAGAGTTACAAAAGAGACACTACTTACGTCACAATAATTACGCTAATTACAAGGATACGTTACTTACATTTCTGTTACTTACGTTAAAGATACTAACACTACTTACATCACAATACTAACCCTACATACAATGGTATCACAAGTTACACAGCTTATATTTTAAAACTAAAATTACAGGGCTAATTGCACTAATTTCATTTCTAAAAATTGGCTACAAGTTATATTTTGAATTTCTTCTAATCCGTTACTTTTATTTTATAAATTATTTTCTTTTTTCTTCCTTTCTTTCTTTCTTTGGGACAAAAAACATATTCTATACAAAAGTATACTATTTTCATATATGTTCTACATATAAAGGAAGGACTGGTTTTGGAGTCGAGGGCTCAGGAAATCTGATCCAGCTAGGATAGAAAAGCCGTCCATTTTTTGTGTGGATTGGTGACGTGTTTTCTAAGTGATGTATATGTTTCAGATGAATCAAGAAGTTGTTTCGAGTTGGATAAAGCTCTTTTGATCGACATATCCAAATATAGTGTTAAGCCATCTGGCAGCAAAGAATTTATTTGGAGTTTGAAATTGGAGCTGTCAGGCTTAAGACCCAAAATGGTTTCCATGTGTAGTCGGTTGTCTGTTGGGAGAATATGACACGACTGAAGCCATGTCGCAAGATTCTGCCAAAACATTTTTGTTTTCATGCATTGCCTGAATAAGTGCATCAGATCTTCTTTTTTATTATGGCGATTTCTTTAACAAATGGATCTTCTATTCTTAGGTTACCGACGTCTTTTTTGTCAAGATTTCCTTTAAAAAAGGCATTGCCACCATACTTTCTTTGCTCTAAAGTAAAGATAATTTTCCATTTGCTACTATTTTCTGGATCTAGATATTTGTTAATCCAAATGGCTCTGAGTGATTTTTTGAAAGATTCAATATCGATCATCACGCAGTAAGTTATAATCTTCTCTTATTACAATCTCCTATTAAAATCCCATCGTACTTGAATCGGCTAAATGCTCAAAAACAGAGGGAAAAAAAATTTGGATCATCGTAGTTTGGAGCGTATGAATTTACCAAAGTTAGTTGTTTCCCTCTTGATATCACGTCACAAACAAATTATTTTGCTCATTCCATGTTTGATGATGTGTGCGCCATTACAAATTGCAAGTACTGCCCATGGTGATACATTGTTCCAGAGGATCAAATTGGGCTTTCTGCATGAAATCTTCTCGGAATTTCTGACAAATAGTTTTCAAGAGTTTGGCATCAGGAAAGCAATACTCTTTCATTTCCTGAGGCAAATTAAAATTCACAAGGCGTCGAATTTGTTCGAGGTACCAGGACTCGTATTCTTGTCGTTTGTCATGATGCATACCGTCGGGATCAAACATGTCACGCGGTGGCATGAGACCTTCATACCCTTGATTTTCACGGGTGTTAAACAAGAGAGGTAAAAGTCACTCTTGAGTTCTACGAGACCAAAAGCTTAAGGAAATGTAGCCAGAGAAAACGGAAAAAAACAAAAGGATTCCTTGAAAATGATAGGACCTGTCGTGACACAAAGGACTTTGATTCCTGCACACACTTGATTCTCTACACAACGATGTTGTCTATAGAGTTCTTAGAACACAAACATTCCATCATATCCTTTCAGATTATGAAACAACAACATTACCATCGATTGTTCAAATCCATCTTCATTCACGGCCAATTCATCCAAGTAATCCAAAAAGTCCTCACAACAATTCTCTCCATAAAACACTACTGTGCCTTCATCTTCGTCAATCACAACATACCAGAATAGGATGATGTTCTCCTTCTTCAGTCTGCATAGCATAGTAATCAGCATACACGAAAACTGGCGGATCTTTGAATATCAAACCCTCTTGATCCAATTCCTTTCCTTTTTCTCAAGGCGTGCTATTCTAGCTCTTCTTTCCTCTGATCTTCTCAGATTTTCTTTCTTCTTCTTGTGCTGGTTAAATGTACCATTTGTGACTTCTCTTATCGACATACTTTGTATTCTTCGCAGACTTTGCAACTCCACAACAATGCTTAACCTTCACGGATCTTCAAACCCCACCATGTGTCCATCTCTTCTTATCATTGCTTTACACTATCTTGCAACAATCAGGAGACTTCTTGTACATTTTGCAAACAGATTTTGCGCAGGAATTGGCACGACCCAAATGGTACTGATAACAATCTTGTCCGTTCTTCTCCGTAAAACGAACGAAGACATTTACCACTCTTTCCAGAAGGTTCCTCATGTCGACGGAACTCGGGACAATTCATGCGATAACACGACACACATTTCCTACCTTCACAAGGATGATGTTCGTAATCTTCCGTGTTGAATCCTCGGTCACATTCGTAACAGTAATACGAGCGAATCAAAAACACCAATCCAATTTCATCAATGAAATCTTCTTAGATGCTGAAGGACCCTTAAAAATAATCGTGAGATTTATCGATCGACAACACTTAAATCTGGTACTTGGGACTCGGTACTCTCTCTCTCTCTTCCAATTCGCCCACTTTACATGGACCTTCTTACACACCTGCCAAACGGTGCAACTCACGCGCTTGAGTTTCTTGCACTGGTCGACCCTTGCGCATATTATCATACATCCGTTCTCAATTGACATCGTCGTCTTTGTGTACTGTGGCTTTCATGCGCACAACAAAGTTCATCTTTGTTTTCGATGCGTAGGACACTCTTAACGTTTTCAAACACCACTAGAAGGAGTACAAATCAAAGTTAATTCAGCTTAAAATTTGTCAAACCGTTCCCCTGAATTTAATTATTCTGCCAAGGTTTGCATTTAGGTCTGCAACAGCGGACTTCCTTCACAAATTCTTTCACTGTAAAACTCGCAGATCGAAACGCATGAGAATATCCGGCTTGTATATGGAAATGAACGACATGATGAGGAGCCACCTTTTCCCTCTTTTTCATTTCTTTAAGAATGGCTCGCTCCAAAACAAAAGTAATTTCTTGTCCCACACCATCGTCAGACGCAGGCGTGCGCAGTTCTTGCAAACGAACGGTAAATCTTTGCTTCGCTACTAAATTCTTTATCCAATTCTTACCAGGACCACTCGCACCAAATTCCATTTCGAATAAAGGCATATTTTCATCATCACTTTCTTCCTCTTCTTCGATCGCTTCAGCAGCTGAAATAAATATTCGTCCGTAACATATGTCAGCTTCTTCTTCCACTTTCTTTCTTTTAGGCACGATTTCAATGACTAACATAATTTTCTCGTGCCACACCGTTCACTTTATAATTCAAATAAAGCGCGTTCGATTCTCATTGGTCAATCAAACGTAGGGGGTAGGGGGGTATCCCCTGTTTTTCGTGTTTGACCGGAAAAAACCTGTGTAAATTCACTCACGCGAATATACGCATTTCAGCTTCGACAGCCTACATCACCCTGATTGCAAAAGACAGCTAGAAAATGGCAGAAAAGAAAAGACTTGACACAAGAAGAAGAGGAAAAACGATCGTCGAGGGAAAAAGAGGTAAGTCTATTATGGGTTCTATGGATAAATTCTATAAGATAAATGTCCATAAGAGAATGATTAGTCATGCTGACATGCATGCCGTGGAACCTTCTACAATGTTGTAATGCTACCAAATTGTTGTGCTGTAAGCTTTCCGAATGTTCTAAAATACTTTGTGAATTTTTAAAATTTTATCATAAATCTTTCTATCGAAATTTCTTATCGTATTTTCAGAACAACCCATGGATTCCGTCGATCCATTAATTAATCCAAAATTAATCACCTTAGCAACTCCGTAAGTATAAAATTGTCATATTTTTTTTTCATTCCCTGTAATCACCGGTAATATCATCTCTCAATTCTTCTTTCAGAGTATCGTCATTACTACAAAGGTTTGGACGAGTCAGCCTTCGACAACAACGAACAATATCACACGGAAATAGTGAAGAGAGACATGACTCAAGGATACAATTTCAAAGAATGTTATCTTCATTGGCCGAGAGATTTTTAAATCTTTTTGTACACAAAATGCGACAACAAATACAAGGATTAAACGATTGGGCTCTTTGCAGCAGGGAGAGTACATTTGACGTCCCAAATGCCAACTAAGGATTCTGTTGTTACAATAAGAAAACATGTTTGCTTTGATTGCAGACTTAAGTGTTGTCAATAGTTCATTGTGCATGCGCGAACTTCCTCCAAAAGTAAATTAGAAATAATTTCTATCTGCGTGACTGCGTGACAATATGACGTCATTTTGTCCTCTTGCGTGACATAACCCCGTGTGACTCCAAAATTCAGTTTCGGGGTGTGTCACAGTTCTGGATCCTGATTGGTCGAAACGTGTCGAAACGCGGTATAAAATACGGCTCTGTGATTGGTAAGGACCTAGAGTAACCACCATAACTACTTTTTACATACTGACCATGTCTAAAGTGGTAGCAAAAAGGATTCAGCAGATTTTAATGACAAAGGTTAATTTAGTCATTGCCTCCCAAGCCTCCAAATAGTTTGCTCAAGAAACGTTGGTTGAAAGACTCTGCTTTTGCTGGCTATCCTGGAAAGGAACTTTCATGAACCACCAAAAAGAAGAAAATGCTGTGTAGAGAAGAAATGAAGTTTTCTTTAGCGCACAGAAATCTTGAAACACATTTTA